ATTCAGGAAGTGGAGGATAGGTCATTATTCTGAGAACACGGGTATTTTTATTGGAGTTCTTTATAACTCAACTTGAGGTGGGATACAGCTCATACGAATCATCATGCCAGGTGACACTTACTTTCCTGTCAGTTAAAGTGGTTTGAATAGTTTAATGAAAGTTCATTCTGGAAAAGCATTTTTTGTCCAATGACTTCTGCTTTCTTACCCAAGAGAAATAGCTATTCCTAGCTCCCAACTGTTGATGAGCGGACTGTTTATTTGGGGCACTCTCTACAACAAAGCCATGACTCTGGGCTCACTTTCCCTCGTTTCCCAGTGTTTCTGTGCCACTTTTTCCCAATACCAAACTTCTGTGTTCTCAGCAAATGCAAGCCACTTTTAATTGTGCCTAGAAAAACATAAGCAGGACAATAACTTCCTTCTTTTCTCCCACCACCCCCCTTCCTTCATTATTTTAAGTATTGGAAAATTGAATATGAATTACCTTAGATTACCTGCCCTTTTTAGTTATCTGTATCACTTACATGGATAATCCAGAAACATCTTGCCTTTAAACACATGCTAACATTTTTTTAAATGCCACCACTGTACAGTTATTTGACAGAGTCAAATATGCATGCATGAATATCAGTCTCACGTTTTTGAAAAGTTGGGAAAAAAAAGAGAATACAATCTACGCTTTACAATGAATAGACTCTCTTCATTGTAAGTTACATATGTCCAATTCAAGCTACTAATAAAAGAAAAGTAATTTATTGATTCGTGTTAATGGAAAAACTACTGGTACTGCTAGGTACTGGGGCTCAAACTCTGTCATCAGGACTCTCCCTCCATCTCCTTCTTTACTTTTTTGGCCTACTGGCCTCATTCTTTCTTTCTTGCATTTGGGGATTTCTTCGCACAGGCAGGGAGTGTAGCTACAAGCAGCTGTGGCATCTTCTATTCAGCATTATCCCAGAGAAAAAGCTCTAGCATCCCAATGAGAATCTTCGTGAAAAGATTGGCCCTGCTTTAGTACAGTGATGGTCCCTGAACTAGTCACTGAAGCCAGAGAGATTGAATGGCTGTGATTGGCCAGCCTGGGCCAGCCGTATCAAGGAGGGTGTTTGGGGCTGGAGCATGGCAGTGCAATCCATAGCCCAAAGAGGACTATGTGAGCCAAAGAGAAGTACTTCCTCAGAGAAGGGTTTTGGACATGTCTACCACAGCTGTTCTTGTGTCGGTTTCTCGGAAAACAATGTACGTGCCACAATCAGATGCTTATGTTATCTGATACAGAGAGGACAGAAAATGTGGGATGACGAAATACAAGAAGATCCTACATGTTAAACACTTGAACTGATCCATCAGCAGACTGTTATTCAAGTTCATGATTCTGATATACATCTAAATGGAGGGACCTGGAGAGTATTATGCTAAGCAAAATAAGCCAGTCAGAGAAAGACAAATATCACATGATCTCACTCATATGTGGAACTGAGTGAACAAAATAAACTGACAAACAGAATAGATCCAGAGACATGGGAGCATGCAACAGATTGACAAATCTCAGAGGTAAGGGGGTGGGGGAAGAGATTAACCAAAGAACTTATATGCATATATGTGTAACTCGTAGACACAGACAATAGTGCAGTGAAAGCCTGAGGAGGGGGCAGAAGGGGGGAGGAGGGAGGTCAATGCAGAAAAAAGGGGAGCATCCGCAATACATTCAGTATTAAAGATAAATATAAATAAGTATATATATAATGTTCACACAGTATCATGGGTGGGTTTTTGCTGTGTTTACTGAGGACTGCATGAAGCCTGAGTGAGGCCCACTATGTGGAGAGCCTACTTGCAGTAGCATTCATTCCAGTCAGTACCCACCGATATCCTGAGATAGCTTAATAGCATCTGTACCATAGACCAGTTTTAACATTTGAACATACACAGACTTAGTCCACTAGTCCACTAGTCTTCCTATTAATCCTACTTTATCTTTTAGTACAACCAAATTAATGTTTTCAAGAGAGAGCTACTGATATTTTGGAGTCATTTTTCTCCCCAGCATTTAATCTCTCTCTTGGCCATACTTTCATTTGGTATCTATCTTTCCACACTTAATAGTAGATTGTAATAATCTGTTTTATAGGAATTCTTTGGGATTATCAGGGCCCTATACTTAAGGCAAAAGTGTCCCTCAACTCTTACAGATAACATTATGCTTTACTTTTTAAAAATTATAGTAAAAAAATAAAATCTAGGACCTATATTGTTATTCATAAATTATTTCTATATCTAATCAAAATAACATAGTTTCTTACAATCTGTTTTTGTTCTTTTCCCAAGTTCTAGTTTTCTATTTCTTATTTCCCTAATTATTTTATTGCACGTGATCACGTTATCTTCCATAAATCCTTGGCGGGATGAAGTGGGGCCATTAGTTAATCAATAAATTAGTCAAGGAAACTGAAATCACTAATGTATCAGCTACTCTTCCTCCTCTTCTGTCCTCAGAGATGATAGAAAATATATGGTCAGTTTCCTCTCAGTGTTCTATATACAATAATATTATTTTATATCATCCAGTGACTATATTTCAGAATTGAATTGCTCTCCAAAAACAACTTATTTATTAAATATATTGATAGACAAGTCAATTATTGTAAAATATTATACTTCATTGTTTACAAGATAGAATTTTAACTACCTAAAGTTTGAATATATCTTACAGTCAGCATGATAAAAGAAGCATTATGTTGTAGCTAAATTGGCAATGTTTTTTCTTTCTAAGTGATGGAGTAATGAAGAATCTGAAAATTAGTGACATTTTGGATTTGATAACACATAGTACTCTAATTATCCATCTTCATTTTCCCAAAGAGTTTTATTTAAGTCAAAATTCTCTTGGTCATCATCTTTTAAGAACAAAAAGTTTGGTTTAAAGATTTCCTTTTGTAAAATAAAGTTTCTTTCTGTAACATTAATAATCACCCCCTATTGTGTCTATTTTATATATTCAGAATTTTGCCATTGTATTTCTTAACTCACACGGAGATTAACAACACCCTTCAGCCATCATTTCCACAGATCTTTGACACTGGTGTCACTTAGATATTAATAACTCATTTTGAAGATGTAGAAGTAATTTTATATGTTTCATTCAAAGCAAAAACAATGTGATATTGAGAACCTGCAACTGTTATATGTAAAACTATATACATTAATCTCGATAATTCAGTTATGATTCTCTTGCTTTAAATCTCTTTGGTATGTTTCTATTCTGATTTAGTGCCTGGTTTAAAGATTAATGTTACACAGTAATTTACTGCAACTTCACAGATGGTATTTGAATCTTCGTAAATGGGCTTGGAATCTCTGCACAGTTCCACCTAATGTTAGGTTAACATCAATGTAAATGTTGAACTTAAAACGGTTCTAAAAGATCATGATAGAATTTTCATTATCCCTTTCTAAAAACCATAAATTTTGAGGGAATTTCATGGGCAAGTATTTTTACTTCACTTGCACGGTTAAGGTATAACTAGCTCCTTATATTTGATATCACCAGCCCCTATATGTTAAAAATAAACATAAAAAATAAATTACCTTGTTTTAAACTATTCTAAAGTTCTAGTCACAGGAGAAGTTACTGTTCTTATTTTTACAGCTTCCTATATGAAATGCTTTATAGAATCCACAAACACACATTGCTTTTAGTGTCTTTCCTTTGATGTCTATAAAAGACCCTTTCAAAACTGGAGGTAAGTGCTCCTAATGTGTACAGCAGAATTTAGCTGAAGTTATTTGAAGCTATTAGAGATAACCTTTCTCTACATGCCTTCTGAGGGAAAAACTGGTACCAACAATACCAGTTAAGCTGTAATTAGTGTAACTAACAACTAATATGAAAGAGCAGACTAGAGGTCATTCTTAAGAATTTAAAGGTATTAACAGGTTAAGGTTGTAGGGCATCCTATCCCCTGGCCTAATCTGTTGCCCTAGCTGGTGAGATTTGTTGAAGTCATCAGTGCCCTCTAACCCCGAGGTGTTGCTCTCTCATAATTTATTGGTCACATGCCAAGTCCCTCTTTCCTGTCTAGTGAGATGACTTTGGGAATGGCAAATTCATTTTAAAATTCTTGCTATAAATGCCTGCAGATTTTCAACCTTTTAACGTAGATAAAGGATTACAGATTAATTTGCTTTAATGTTCCTGTCCTACCAGCTTTAGACTACATTGGAATTGTCATTTTGCTACATTACAGAATATGATTTGTGGAGGCCATTTAACATGTATTATAAGAGGAATGCCTAAAATCTAACTATTAAATCAGATGTTGTGTAACTGATTCTAATACATACTGAATATTCCACTTTTTATGGGCCACTTCTTCAAATTTAATTGCCCACCAGTGGCTTTTGTTTATATTTACAGTCAACTCTAATGCACTTAAAGGATAAGAATTTAACAGAGAAATAACATTTGTTTCCGTGAGATGTAGTTAACCCCTCTTTCCCAACATCTGCCTTTGGATTCTTCGTCGTCTCATTACTTGATACCAACACACACACAAGAGGAATGTCGTAGAACTTTAATCATTCTTTTCCTTTTCCCATTAAAGTCATGCCTGTAAAATGGCTTCTGTAGCTTCTTTCTACCTAGAAAAGCTACACGCACTTTTTTTTTTCTTCTAAAGCAATAGGCAGTAAGACAGCACTATTAAGAAAGAGTCAAAGGAAACTTTTTCCCTTTCAACTTTTTATGTTACTACCTTGGTCTTGGACTATCATTACTATCATATGCTTTATAGAAATTTTTAATTATAGATTATTTATTATTCATCAAGTAAGCTGAGGCAGATTCTAATAACTTAAAGTTTTAAGGTGGGAAAGAAAAAATTTAATTTATCCTAGGTCACTGGACCCATGGACACCTAAATACTTAAGGAGTACAGACTTAAAAATTATAGTTCTCACTTAAGTGCCACAAGAAATGATTAGGGTATAGTCTTTCCTTGAGTCCCATGAACCATTTTTTATTTGAGTAGTTACTTGTTTATTCTAATACGTATTAGAAAAAGATGAATAACACACAAAACCCATTTAATGGATGTTATTGCTTAGGAGTAGACAAATAGGAAAAGTTACTTGATATAAAGAAAATACTGGATATTTTAATAGTAATATGTATGGGTGTCCTCGGCAGTTTCATCTTTTGTTTCCAAAACATCAGCTTCTCTGGGCTTCAGCCTTGTACTAGCTGATGTCTAAGGCTCCTTCCAGGCAGGGTTGTCGGTCCTCAGTGATAAGTTCCTCAAGGCTGGGAAAATATAAGTAATACTTAGAGCATAGTGACAACCTCAAATCATCATTAATACATTTTTCCTTATTGATTGGTTGACATTTTCTAGTAGCAAATTTAAGAATTTTTGCATATCCATGTCCATGCAACCAAACTAACAAGTAATTTTAATTATTGCATCAGTGATTTAAAATTTTTTAAAATAAAGAGCAGACCAGTGCTACTTAAAAGTTCACACAGACACCAATATTCTTTCATGCTAGGATTTCCTGAGCAATGACACCAAGGACAGTATTGCAAAGTCTTTTTTTTTTTCCCTCTCCCATACTATCTTATGATTAGCTATGAGAGTAAGACATCAAAGCTGAACTGACTTCAAAGCCTGTAACACTTATGGTTTCCAGCTATTACTGTAGCCAGCCGCTTCACCCTAATAGTAATTCATCTTACAGAGCTGCCTCGCTAGGTTCCACCCTCCGCTTCCCACCTTCCCCTTTTCCAAACCTATCAAATTTAAAACTGCCCTTTAAACCAACCTCAAAGTTAAACCAGTCCTGGCAGTTAGCGTATTTGCTTAATTTCAAGGTTTTACCACTAAAAAATAGGCCATATTTATTATTTATTTACTTACTTTTCCCAGAATTATGCCTTTTACCACAGGGCCTTAGGCTACGTTCACATTAAACACACAATGTTCTTCATTACGTTTCGTTCTGAAGTGTAATGTGCCCACGTAGGTAAGACTGTGTACTCCTGCCACTTTAATTAGGCATCACAAAGTGACAAATTAAAAAGTTAAAAGGAATGAAATATAAAACATGGATTGTCCATCGTAATTGCTTGAAATGTAATCCTTGGAAGCACATGCTTTCTTTAATAAAAGAAAGTTTCGTGGTTTTTAGCTGTATGAAAGTTAGTATGTTAGAGTTGGAGCTTGTCCTGTACTCAGAGCTAAGTAGGTGCCTGATCGCAGGTACTCAAATGGTATGCAGGAGCCAGGCTCTTGAGAACTGTAGAGCCAGCGTCAGCTGGAGATTTTCAGTTTTTCTTTTACTGGCCCAGATAAAAATTTGAAATTACTTCCCTTGAGTAATTTGGTACAGTTGCTGGTTGGTACTCAGTACCACAGGGCTGGGCGCAGGGAGGAGCTGCCCTTGAATCTAGCAGCTGGCATCCAGGGCTTCAATTATGGCACCAGAGGAACTCACGGGAGACTTAACGATATGGCTCTTCTCAGCCCTGAGCCATGTGTGATGTTCTGCATGCTTTGTGACAAGGACTCTGCCTGTGGATTATGGAAATTAAATGAGCTCCATCTAATAATTGTATGGATTGAGAAGTGGAATGGTCTGCATTGTAAACTAGTGAGCCTTCCGTCTTTCGAAGCATTCAAGTAAAGGCTCAGTGACCACTTTTCAAGAATCTGATAGAAGGAATTCTTACATTTGGTAAGGATTAGACTCAAGAATCTTTAATATCTATTTCAATTGTAGGGCTCTATGTTTCTAAAATTAAAAGATGTGAGGAAATAGAGTTGAAGATTAAGTGATGGCAATAGCATGTGGCTATTGACTGCTATTCGGTAATTAGATGGATTTCAGAAACAATATGGGTATCTTGTAGATGTTTGAAAAGGAAAAGGCATGATGGCCTACTAGGTGAGAGTAAACAGCAAAACAGTGCACATCTTCTCCAGGCTGGGAGAGAAAGGAACCTACCCGAAAACTCTCAGGAAAACGTAAGAGAAAGGGAAAGGAAGCTTTTTTTAAAGAGTGGGAACCCAAATGGATTTCCCGAGGGCTAGAGATAGGAACCAAAGGACTTTATATCTGCCTGCACCACTTAGAGGAAGGGAGCAAACAGCCAGGAAAGGGAGCAGCTAAGCCTTGAGTTTATTGGAGATAATCAGAGATGGACAGTTTGAAAGGTTCAGTTTGACTTGGGAAAGATGACTAAAGTTTCTACCAGGAAATGGTGTGGCTTGTGGACAAGGTAGCCTTTGCTCGCATCTTTTAACAGCTAGGTCAGAAAGGAAGAACCGTGGAGGAAAAAGACCCAGGGGTCAGGCTAAGATACATTGGAAAAGTGCAAGTAAGGTTTAGCCGTAGAAACAGAAAGAAGGTGTTAATTGAAAGTGATAGGAACCTTTCCTGTAGGAAATTTACTAATTAATGATGGCTGTCCCCAATTCTGTTTTGAGGAGCATAGTAATTGTAGGGTACTAAAAAGGCTCAATGTGAGTAAGGAATGATGAGAGTCACTAACCAATACGTCGCTTTGGGCCAGTTATTGAACTTCTCTGGATCGCTCATCATTTTAAATATTAGACGGTTAGGTAGATGATTTCCAAGATCCTTTCCAGCTCTGAGATTCTCTTCTAATGCCTTAATTCAAACTGAATTAGATATGCACTGCATGACCTAAGAATTCAAACACTCCAAATGTTTCAGCTTGCAACACCTGGTTGATTCTTATAGATACCAGTCATGGTAGGAAACTCAGGAAGCTCCCAACATTTTGAGGTGTATAGAAATTACAGGAAAATCTCCTGTGAAGGGTAAGAAGTGAGGACACCACCGATGCTGGAGAAGTGAAGTGGTGCTCCAGAAAGTGGAGGCGAACCCCTCCATGTGAGTGTAAGGAAATGATCCATGTCTAAGGAAGACAACCAAGAGGGAAATGGCAGTGTTGCCTTGAGAAGAGAGACCAGGCATTGACTTTAAGAAGTGAATCCGTAGATTTGATCTATTGGCAATAAAGTGATAGAGAAATCTCATTAATAGATGTTTTCCAGTAAAAAGAAAAGCAGTACTGCCAAAGAGCCTTTAGAAACATGAGAAAAAAGTTAGGAAATATAAAATCTATAAAGATGAAAAATGTGGAAAAATAATTTGAATTGCTACTTTAGCATAAACTCAGTAACATGTTTAGGCAGTTTTTCGCAGTAATAAACCACTCCCCAGAAATAAAATGCATAGACCCTTTTTTGTTGTTGTTAAAATAACTAAGCATTTTCCAAAAATGTTAACTCTCTCATTTCCTGGGTGTAAATTATATAGTAGGGCCATACAACTAACTGGGGGTTTATATGTGACCATTAATTGAGGTAGCAGACTTTAAAGAGTCTACTTTAATAACCATGTCATTACTATTTGTGTGCCTTGGTATCTTTTTTTCCAAGCTCTGGTATTCTAGGTTTTCTCAATAGCCATACAAAAGCTTCTTATCACTGTTCTGAGCCATGCTGTAGCCTCTATTTTGAAATAAGAATTTAAATTATACTGAAATGATCATTTATAGCAGCACTAATATTATTCAACACTTAGAATCATTACATAGTTATTTTCTAATTGTGCCTATCCTCTTTTAAATGGTATATTAATCTATAAATGAAAAATTGTCTTATAAATAACACAGTAATAGAAGTTAGACATAAGTGGGATTCTGAGTTTTTTATATAACAGTTAAACCTTCAACACTGATCACTAACATGCTCTCCCCAGCTAAGTGCCATTAATCCATTTACTGCTGCTCATTGGAATGGAGAAAAATTACTAAAGAATTTCCCATATGTTTAAGTGAATTCCCCTGTGTATGTGGATTACTTAGCTTTCTTATTTTTCTATGTGCATGTCCCTTTGGAAGATTCCAAATGCCAATCCTCCTTTTACTTTAGAAACAAAAATGGCAACTGCGGCAACACTTCTGAATCATCTGGCTGACCTCCAACTTCCTGGTGGTTTCTCCACACTTAGTTCCACATCGCTGCCTTGAGAAGGCAGAAGTGGCACTGCTCTGTGATGACCTACTGGCCATGACCACTCCTACCTCATTCTTAACATTTTTATCCTAATCTACTTCCACACATAATGTACTTCTGCAGTAGTAAAAGAATACTGTATGTAAAAATCTAGAAGCAATTAACCAATGCAGCAGCTCAGTATCCACTGGGATTTTTTTTTCTTAGTGTTAAAATTTAAAGCATTTGCTTTAATAGATACCATCTCATCCTAGGTTTCACATGTGAAAAGAGACATTTGAAAAGGTCTCCAAAATCTAAATTAAACACGTATATCAAAGTATTACCATAAATAGAACAGTATATCTTTCTTTGGTCTAAAGAATATACTTTAGCCTTCATCAAGAAAAAAATATGCCTTGTGAATGGCTGAGTGTACTGTGCACATTGAATCAGAATGTCAGAATCTCCTAAATAAATTGTTATTATGGAATAAGGCAGAACTTCAGCTCTGAATTTATATAATTCATTCCATTGTAGGTTTTTTCATTGAAGAATACATTTCTCTGCCATAAATTGTACTGAGTATGAACAGCAGAGTCATTTGAGGTTCATTGAAAATATAGGAGAACATCATGTTTCCTGTCCTTTTGTTAAACTTGGCATATTGATTTTTTTTGCACAGCTTGCAGCACAGAAATGTGATATACAGCTATGGCAAGACAAGCTAACCACATGTGAATTTGCTAAGTACTGCTGGATTAGCAGAAATTGTCTGACTGTGCAAATAGCAAGATCTGACTTCTCCAGGAACTCTTTATGACTTAATCAATTAAAATAACAGGTTTTGATTTTATTGCCCAGAATAAATCATTAACAAAACTCATTTTCTCCTGATCACTCATTTGTGGGATGTTTATATTCATTTCATTTCTGTATTTCAAGCAAAGTAATAACTATGTCAAATTTGAACCAAAAATTCAAAGTCAAACATAAGAAGATAAAAGATGTGACCAGTGTTACATGTTATTTTAATAATGATTCGTAAATTTCGTTAAGAAGGAGATTCTAGATTTTTTTTTTTAAGATCTGCCATTGAATTTTTTGAAATACCTTTTTAGTATTTAGTGCTTTTGTTCCCTTTAGGCTTAAAGGTAGCAAGATTTAGATTTGACTAATACTTTTACTGCAGTTAAATATAGGACCTTGTGGAAAGGCAGTCTCTGCAGTAGGGCTGGTTTGCTCGTCTCACCTTATTAAACCTCTCCCTTGAATGTGTCCATTGCACAGTTCACCTTGCCTGACTTCAGAGAGCAGAGCTAAAGAGGATGCGCTGTGACGCAGCGAATGGGTTGCCCATGGCTTCATAGAAATGCTGATGCCTTACCTGCCAGGTTCGTGGAGTTCTCTGAGCTCGCCTGGAAGCGGATAAACCATCGTGTGGTGTGCTGGGGAACAGAACGGGCAGCCTAGCGAAAGCCAGGAAATGTCTGAAAAGTCATGTTCATGTGATCATGTTCTCACCTGCCTTTAAGAAAGTACTTTCTTTAAAACATCTCATTCTCTCTAAATTAGATTTCTTTTTTAACAAGCAGAATTATTTCAAGTTTTTTTTTCCAAAAATTTTTCTACTTGTTCTCATTACTTTTAAACAGGTGGACATCTTATGAGATTGCATGCCAGATTTATTAGAAACAAGTCTTTAAAATTATCTGGTAAAAGCACAAAGCATGAGTTGTTCCCCTAATAAAAAAGTGGGGGAAGGGTCAGAGCAAAGAAGAAAGTGCCACTGGTTTGTGTTAGGTGACACTGTGCCCTGCTTGTCTAATTTGATTACACAGAGCCCCTGAAGCCTCGGGCAAAGCTGATTTTAGCTATAATCAGCTTCTTAACCTTTTGAGAACTAACGTAAACACTACCTAGCAGTGGTTAATTATGTTGCTCTGCTGCACACTACAAAGTGCAAAGGTAAGTGTAGAACTACAGTAACACATGTTGTGACAAAATTTAACAAGATGACTTCAGGGGATTGCAGCTGAATGCAGTTCTGTATTTGTGGTAAATTTTAAACAAACTAAAGAGACATAAGGGTGCTTTTTAAAAAAAATTTTAACTATAGTTTTGTGTAAGCTTTATCCATAACTGCAGAACATTCACTACTTTTTCCTTTTTGCTATCCTCACACTTGTACTTTTCACTAAAATCCTCCTTTGATTACACATATATTTAAGAAATACAGGTGCACTCATACACATGTATCCTTTCATTTTCAGAGTAAACAAAAGAGATTACAGTACTCCTTTAAGTAGAGCAAAATCCTCTTGGTTCACTTTTACAGATAGTAAGAATTCATTAAGGGAAGAATGGAATTTCTTTATAGTTAAATGGAATATAGGCAAGAATCTAACTTTTTGATTTAAAACAGGAGCTCTGTTATGCAGGAATCTGATGTGTCATATGGGAAATTAATATGTTAAGATGATTTTACTGTCTGTAGTTGGTGTAACTCTGGTGTGATGATGTGACTAATGGGGTAGAGAACCATAAAGATTGACTAATGTACTTACTAAGGCTATCTCCTCCAAGTCATATTTGCTGGGGAAACTCCAATAGGAATATTCCCCTGAGTAAGGGTTGCAGGTGACCAGGAGAATAGATGGAGCCATAAGCCACACCCTGTATTGGTAGACCTCTGTGCCAGCAATTTTGCCTGAAATTTCATGCCCCAAAAATATTCTGAAGGGTAGAATCTGAATGCTCCCCAGTGACACACATTGTAAACACTGTGTGGAATTAAAACAGAGTGGGAGGGGATGGTTCAGACTAAAGATTAACTGCACTATTTTAATCTAGGTCATTCCCTCATGAATAACATGAATATGCTACGAGCTTATATTTTGCAGTGTAGCTCATGTCATGGTTACAGTGAGCTTAAAAATTACATGTAAAGAAGTGGATTTGGAGAGATGGGTATCCTAAGGCCTTTTACGGTTTCCGAGGCATCAGGGAGCATTCATTGGGCAGCACAGCTTGGCCATGTGGTAAATAAAGGTGACCTCATTATTAAATAACTTAAAGTTGTTAACCTAAATGCCACCTAATAGGAATTCAAGTGGGTTTTGTAGCCACATATAAAACTAGGATAAATGAAGCCAGATAGCCGGTAACTGGACATTTTTGGCTCCTTGCAGAAATGTTTTAACTGAATTCTATTCTCTGTTTTGTAATCAGCTTGTTAAAAAAAATAATTGTATTTAACTGCATGTTGCAGCTGTTATAGGTATCTTTTAGACAAGTGCTTTTTATCTCATGACACATATTGCAAAAATCTAATACATGTTAAGGATCCTGGTGTGGATGGAGAGGACTGCTTGGGGCAGGAGACCACAGGCTCAGCAGCTCTGGCTGCCTCTAATTCCCCCAGCTGCCCTGAGGACTGAAGGACCACTGTCTCTGCACCCCTGTAATCCGTTCAGGACCCACCATGGGCCAGGGGATGGCTGATACAGAGGCAGTAACCCACTATATGAGGTCTTCTCTTAGGAGCAGGACCCGTAGGAGAAATCCTTCCCAGAACTCAGTTCTTCTCTGAATAATTTCTTTTTATCTTATGGACAAAGAAAATTTTATAGTATGTCACTTCATTGGTTCCCTAATTTTGTCCACCCAGAGCATTACCTGAGCAGCCAGGGCCTCTTTCCTATTACATTTCAATCAGAATTGCCTAGGGTGGGGGCCAGACATTAGCCTTTTTCAAAGATTCCCAGGTAATCCCCAGTGGTTCCCCAGGTTTGCCCCAAGTTGGGGACCACTGACATACCAATTGTGTTTCCCTCCTAACTTTAGCCATTTGGAAGCTACAAAATAAATCCATTGTAAGTGTACAATTCTGTAATTTTTTAGCAAATCTAGTATTGTGCAACCATCATTATAATCCAATTTTGGAATATTTCTGTTACCCCAAAAAGTTTATTTGTGCCCATTTTCAGACAGCCCTGCCCTCACCCACAGTCCCAAACAACTAGTGATTTACAGGCTTTATAGATTTGCCTTTTCTGAAAATATCATACATATGAGTTTATACAATACATGGTCTTTTATGTCTGACTTTTTTCTCCTACAGTGTTTGTGAGGCTTATTCATGTTTAGCATGTATCAGTAGCTCGTTCCTTTTTATTGCTGAATAATATTCCATTTTATGGAAATATCTCATTTTGTTTATTCATATACTAGTTGATGATGGACTTTTGAATTACTATCAGTTTGCAGCTATTTGCATAATGTTGATATGAACATACACATATGAATCAAGTCCAGGCATGTTTTGTTTTGTTTGTGTCCTGAGTGTATACCTGGAAGAGGCATTGCTGGGTCATATGGTTAGTTTATGTTTAGCTTTTTAAGGAACTACAAAACTGTTTCCAAAATGGCTACACCAGTTTGCCTTCTCACCAGCAAAGTATGAGAGTTTCCATTTCTCCACATTCTCACCAACGCTTGGTATAGTCAGTCCTTTTTGTTATACCCATTCTGGTAGGTATATGGTGTTAACTCTGCAGTTTAATTTGTATTTCCCTGGGGACTTCTCCATGTTGAATGTGTTTTCATTTGTTTATTAAGCACACGTGTATCTTCTTTAGTGAAATGTCTATATTACTTTTGCCTATTTTTTATTCTTATGCTTGTCTCATTATTGGATTGAAAGAATTCTTTGTATATTCTGGATATAAGTTCCTTATTAGATATGTGATTTTACATATATTTTATCCCAGGCTGTGGCTTGTCTTGGTATCTTTTGAAGAGCAGAAGTTTTTATGAATTCAAAATTTATTATTCTTTTCCTCTTATGGGTCATGTTTTTGGTATCACATCTAAGAAATCTTTGCCAAATCCAAAGTTAGAAAGATGATCTCCTTTGTTTTATTGTAGAAGTTTCATAGTTTTACCTCTTACATTTAGGTATGATTTATTTTTAGTTGATTTTTTGTGTATGGCTTGTGCTAAGGATGTAAAGTTGATTTTTTGACATGTGGATGTCTAGTTTTCCCAGCAATGTTTGCTGAATAAACTATTCTTTCCTTCATTGAATTGCCTTTGACCCATTTCAAAAATCAATTGACCATAATGTAAGGGTTTATTAATAGACTTTATTTTTTGTGCCATTGATTTACATATCTTTTTACATAAGTACCATGCTGTTTTGAATATTGTAGCTTTATAGAAAATTTTGAAATTAGGTAGTATAAGTTCTACTTTGTTCCTTATTTAGATCATCATTAATTTTAGTTTTCTTGCACTTCTTTTGTTAAATATATTCCTAAGTGTTCTTTTAGATGTTATCATGAATGGTATTCTTTTCTTAATTTCATTTTCAAATTGTTTATTACTAGTGTAAAGAATTAAAATTCATTTTTGCATATGGATTTTATATTCTGTGAGCTTGCTAAAGCATGTTTATGAGTTCTAGAGTTTTTTTGTAAAATCTTTAGGATTTTCTTCTTTCTTTCAAATATGCATACAATTAGTTTCTTTTCTTGCCTCGCTCCACTGTCTGTAACCTGTACAGTGTTTTGAGGAAGAGTGGTGAGGGCAACTCTAGACTCTGAATTTTTCCCTTCAGGGTAGTCTTGCTGATACTTTTTCTGTTTTTCATTTGCTTTTGTTTTAAGAAACTTGCCTGCACTTAATCTGCAGGTCTTCTCCCCTTCAGGATGTGCATGCGGATACCTGCTTGCGTTTTGTTTTTTAATTCCGTTTTTTCCAGTCTGCCTTTCTAGAGACCCCCCCTTTGCCTGCATGTTCAATGGGCAGGTGTACTGGGCCACCCCCCGTGCTCACTGTCCGCGGGGCGCCCACCCTCCCAGCGGGAGGGCCTGCCAGGGCTTCGCCCAGGCCCTCGGGGGCGCTCCTTTCCAGGGTGTCCCTGTGAGTTTCTGCCTAGGCCCCTGGTTGCCACTCATCCCAGCAGAGATCGCTGCCTCGGGCCGCAAGGCCACTGGCCGCCATGGCTGGTCCCTAGCGAGTTTGCTTTGCCTGCTGGAGCGGGGCAGGCGCTTCCCTCCGGGTCGGGTCCCCCGAGCGCGAGGCCTGAGCC